ATACTAGCTTGGCACACTGATTGAAGGTCTCCACACAGAAATAAAAACCAACACAACAACTGCAATCGCTAAAATCGGTGTTAGGCAGTAAACCTTGCACTATTTTTTTTTACCGCATAATAAAAACTGAAACAGAAACAAAAATAAAAAACAACCGAAAAAAAACATGTTGCAATTGAAAAATTTATTGATAAAAATGGTCATCGTAAACATATGGCGTCCGACAAACAGACTTACAAAAAAGAAGCATTTTAGACGACCCGTATCGAAAAGGTTAAACATACCTGAGAAAAAAGCAGTTTCAAATGGTTTATTGTGTCAAAGTCAATGCGTTTGCGCAACGTGCTTAAGCGAACGAGCCAAAGTAGCAAAACGTTCAAACGAATGATGGAACAACAATAACAACGGCACAACCAAAAACAGCTTAGTGTAAATATACTCGGAATTTATGCTAAGTTGTCGAACTAGAATACATATATATATATATATATATAACGATTTGGCCACATACAATATGCAAACACAAACACATTTCGAAAGTTGAGAGAATCTATGTATACGCCATTGATTATACATATCTGGACGTGGTGCATTATGGCAATTGATGATACACATTTGCTCGTGTGTCTGTACATAGACATATTGCAATTAATAATTTTTATCACGAATGACATTTTAACTGAACACGCAAAAACACTTATTATTTGTAAACACAAAATCGAAATTTCGTTTGAAATCACCTTATTGTTTTTGCTATGGTAGCACAAAAGATACACAATTATACTTACTGTACTTGCTCTGTCTATTGACATTCTTAATCAGTTCGATGCTATGGTCACTTTCATCGATTCCGTGCTCACTCTCCAGCATTGTAGTTGTGCAAATCAGAAGAAAATGAGAGAGTCTGCGTTTGCTAAACATGTAGTGGAGAGTGAGCACGGAATCGATGAAAATGACCATAGCATCGAACTGATTGAGAATGTCAATAGACAGAGCAAACTCGATGCGTATGAAAGTTATTACATCGAGAAAGAGATAATGGTGCTATGCGGAAAGCGGGAACAAGGAACATACAGTCCTGCTTATTTGCATTGGTAGTTTGTCGTTTTTTCGTCTCACAAATCACCGGCAAAAATCGGGAGTCGTGTCAGTGCTGATGATGAACGCCCGTTTAGCGTTTCGAAATGCGCATTCACTTTAAGTAAGCACAATTGTGTATCTTTTGTGCTACCATAGCAAAAACAATAAGGTGATTTCAAACGAAATTTTGATTTTGTGTTTACAAATATTGCAATTGATTTTTAATGGATGTGTGAATTTCGATCGTATATCAAACACATACATGCGTGCACCATCGCGTCACAAAACCCCATTTAATGACCACCGAAGCAAAATAAACGTTTCTAAATAAACAGAAAATCCATTTGAATTGTTCGTTGTCAGTCTTCGAATACCTGGAAGCAGAATCCAACTTTGCATTTGTGCTTTGTATGTACAACACACTCGTTATTAGTTGTGTACTTTGTTTTGGAATTCTTTGACTTTTCGGTGTGCACACATATGGCAGAGCCAATACCAATATTCCGGTCATCGTTCGATACTACTCATTACTATAGTGTTTTTACGTTTTTCTTTTTTGCTTCTTTACGAGGAAAAGTGAAACAAAAACGATATAAAACATGATTTTTTTTACGATACAGCAACATATTTTCTTCGTAAAAATTGAACATTTCCAATGAAATTGAAGTGAACATTGGGAGAAGTCGCGCTATTTTCATAAACTTCCTCAAGTAGTGAACATACACAAGATAGTTTCACTTATGCCAAACAAGGTATTTCCTATAGAATATTAACATTCTCCGCTTAAATTTCATGAAAAACAGAAACAAACAACAAGAACACAGTGTCGACATTGAAAGCGCACAGCATTGATAAGTGTCGAAGCCAAAGCGAAAAATAAAAATAAAAAACGAGCAAAAAATTCTAAGTAGACAGAATAACTAACTCATTTAAATAAAATTGCTTTCGTGATCGAAAAAACAACAATTTCGCAGAAATACTGAATAACAATAGACCGAATAAATAAAATGATACGAAGGAAACGATGAGCAACGGATTTGCACTCGCCACTTACTGATTAGTATGCGATGTCCGGTTATGCGAGTGATTCAACCCGGATCATTGGGTGTTAATTGATGGAACAATCATCTCAGACGTACAATAAAATGACTTCGTTCTTGTTTGTTGAATGGGGCAAGCGCAGCAGCAGCAACAGCAAAAGCAAAACAGTAGACGTTGCAATTGGCTGTCATCAGCCATTGACATGATGATTTATTACTTTGCTATGCTTTGCTTTAGTTGTGTGTAGACAAGATCATACGACACACAGACAGCCATAACCAATGAAAAGACATTGTGTTGTAATATGGAAATTTACATCACGGCATACACACCGGGAGACGCACCTGTGTACCATACTCTCTCTCGCTCTCTCCTGCTCTCTCAGTACACACAATTTGCAATGAAATCTCAATCGATGTTCAAAACCTTTTTTTTTTTTGTTCATCGTGTAAACAATAAATCCACCGCATTACTCATATTGTGCACGGAACTTCGAATTTGTTCATTTTCATACAAAAATATGAAAGAAACTGAACAAAATGAATATAATGTGTTTCTTTTTCTTTATCTTTCTTTCCGCTTTGCTTTTGTGATTGGTTGAGCGTGTGCGCGCGGGCGCGAGCACTTGTTGAGCTTTAGGATTGGGTAACTATTGTACCTTAGGTTTATTTATTTTCTCTATTTCGGTTTAGCATACGTTTGTGCTGCATTACACCGAACAAACATCAAAAAGCAATTAATCGATGATGAACTAAGCTGTACTCACCTATACCCATTTTGAATACGATGATTAAGCAAATCGGAATCGGCTAGCTGCGTGTAGTCAAATTAAAAATGCAATTGTTTCTCTTTTTTTCATGTGTTTTGCGATTTTCTTTTCTCTTCCCGCTTGAAATATATTAGAGGAGAGAGAAAAAACAGCGCATACAGCACAGCTATTAGTTGGTCTGGAGAAATCAGTGTGTGTGTGTGTGTGTGTTTCTTTTTCGACGTACATCTGCGCGCCCATCAATTAATTTGCGCAATGATGTTCATTGGCTAAAATCTCGCAACTTTCGCGTTCATTACATTAATTTGGTCTGATACATGTGTGGATTCCCTCGACGTTGTACAAATATCAATTTTAAAAAACTGCATACACACAAAAGCCAAATGAATCGGCTCATACATTGACTGTGTGAAAAACTTGTTCTTGAATCAGCTTAGAATCGTTTTCGTTTGGCGCAAAAGAATTTCGAATTGCGACAGTCGCAACAGTCGGTTTTGACACATGAAAACTGGCATCTCTGCATCCCCTACACACCGACCGAGGCACAACAAAATTGTGAATGTGAATCAAAATGGCTAAATCTCGATATATGTTGATTTTACGGCGAATAAGAGAAAAAAATGAAATCGCGAAAAAAAATGTGTTGTTGAGAATAAAAATGGGATTAGCCGAAAGCGCTCGTTTACATGTGAATCATCTTATGTGTTTCTGTAGAGAGATACGATGCAAATGGCTGAGACAAAGATGATATAGTAATATCCCACAGCAGAGCAGATACAATACATACAAAATCGCCACTCTCGCCAATAGTAATGATGGTGATTTGACAGATCACCATTGGTATATGTTAATCGTACTAATTCCTTTCTGAGTGAGTAAAATTCTAAAACATTGCAGAAGACATCCGTCTTCTATCTCTTACCAGAAACATAAAAATGATTCACATGTAAACGAGCGGTTTCGGCTAATCCCATTTTTATTCTCAACGACACAAATGTATGTCGAATAGACGTTGTTTACAGCGATTGTGCTTCGGATCTTGTGGGGCTAAACAAACGATATGGCTGGAAATCGATTTATGATTTTCAGTAGCAGCTATACTTTTGGCCACTTGAAGACCAAACATGTGCACGGTGATTGAAAATTGGCAGCAATTTTGTAAGCAACATTCTTGCGTCTAATTATGATCAAGAAAATCTGCCATGGAAATCTATGTTTTTACAAACTTCTAGCGCAAGATTCAATCGGTTGTGGGTTTTTTTTCTCGTTGCATTGGTCAGAAGAATACACGAAGCAGAAGAAGAAAAAAATTGTGTTTGCACCGGTAATTAGATCATGAGCCGGCTTAAGCAAGTACATCCATTAGAAATAGTATGCAGAAAAAAAAAGAAGGACAACAAGCGTACAATATGCATACAGTTCATTTGTACGTACCGTCACTTGTTCTGCTGCAGCTGCGGCTGTTGCACACAAATTCTGCTGTCGCTATGTGTTCAATGTTAAAATTGAATCAGGGTAAACAAGGTGCAATAACTAAAATAATAATAATAACGCCACTGACTACATTCATCGCATTTTACATTCACAATTTCAACACTGTGTGAGAGATATCGATGTATGCATGGCACGGCTGCAGAGCTGAAGATTCAATTTGATTCTCTTTTCACGTCATATTAATAAAAATCAGTAATTTTCAGAGTACAAAATGGAGAACAAGAAATTGAAAAAATAAAAATAAAAAAGAACACCATTTACCCAGAGAGACGAAGAAAAAAAAAACAAAATCAAATTAATAAGGCTGATAAACGAGTTTTTATTTGATCAGTTTGTATTTTTTTTTCTGTCGTAATTTGGCATGGCTCGTAACAATTCACAGTCACACTATAATTTATTAAGAACATTTTATTTGATCGTTGAAAACCGGACTTTAATCGGTGAACAAGCAGCAACAGCGGCAGAGAAACGAAAATGCAGATATAATTCGTTTTTTTTTTCCTATTTCAAAAGCCTGTTCGAAGTTAATTGAGTGATATAGAGAAGCAACACAGAAAATTATATATGAATTTATTGTAATTATTAATCGTTGTTCATTTTCCCATTGTTATTACAGTGAATCGTGGGAAAAGGTGGACATTGTTCACAATGAAAACGGTACAATCAGTTTCAACCAAAAAAAGACGTTCATCTTTAACGAAGAGCTTTCGAATGGTTCGGAGGACGATGTTGTAATCGTACCAAATATTCCAATGTTGAGCGCCACATCACAGAGCAAACATGCAGCCCGGTAAGTTATTAGCACATACATGTTGCATTTGACCCAAAGCATGTGTCAAAAAGGGCTTTGCAAGCATGCAGAAGATGAGCATTGATTGATGCTTACATTTGTTTCGTAGATTCTTGCGATTGGCCATGGCCAGTATCATGGATATTTTGAAGATTAAACCATTCGTCGAAGTATCGGTTGGTCAACTATTGTGGGGCTATGAAGATCCTCTGTTGAAATTGGCTAAAGACGTTGTGCCAAAGGAACAGAAATTACCTTACGAAGAATTTGGCGTGTTGTATGGTAAAAATAGCACATCACCGGTAAGGAAATCCATTAAAAATTGTTTACCAATCGGTTATTCTTTAAAAACTCATTTCTATTATCCCATGAAATTGTCCAACGTCAATTAACACCTAAAGCTAATTTCTCGCTCGCACATTTATTTAAAACCCTGCTGTTTTTTTTTTCTCTTTCTTCGTTGAATTGCCATACGTTTTCATCAAGAATGTTGTAATAAACAATGATTTTTCCATTTATCATGAACAGGATCGTGTAACCATTTTCTCTGGCGTGAATGATATCAAACAATTTGGTATTATTGATAAGTACAACGGTGTTTCGTATTTGCCACATTGGTCAACACCCGCATGTAACCATTTGAATGGTACCGATGGATCCATTTTCCCGCCACACATCACCAAAAATACCACATTGCATTTGTATGACAAAGATTTGTGCCGTCTGATGCCGTTGTCATTTGAAAAGGAAGTCACCACACGTAACAATGTACCAGGCTATCGATTCACACCATCGGAAAAAGTATTCGCTTCGGTTGAAAAAAATCCAGACAATGTTTGCTTCTGTCCACACGGGCCACCATGCGCACCACACGGAATGTTTAATGTGTCGGCATGCCAATATGGTAAATATGATGATGCCATTTAATCATTTTTTTATACATTTTAAAAGCCCATTGACCACAATTAAGCACTTTGGCATGAACTTATCGGAATGCACCATTCAGTCAACAACCGATCGAATGGTCGTGTAGTAGTCAAGTCGACCACACATGCTAACTGTTCGCCACTTGAACGAATAACAAATATTGACTCTCCAAGTGTAAAAATACTTAGATACTTGTTGGTTAGTCAGGATTCTTCGGTTTAAATTGGCCACAGAGAGCATCTCACGTTTTGTCAATTGAACACACTACGGGGCCTATTTATACGGAGTTTGCATGCTAGTAGGCCTGTTATGCTTTTGCGCTCGCTGTAAATATATTAGGTTTTTGCGCTCGCAAATTTGCTGTTCGCCTTTTAACTAAAAAATTTCTGTGTTTGTGTTCTGCGCACAGGTTTTGTAGGAAAGGTTTTTCTTCTCAGGCCGTCATATGACTCACGCCAACTATTTTTTTTTTTGCGATTCCATCTCTGTCGAAGGTTAAGCTAATATAACTGAATTTCAAGGGATCTTAGAATACTTGGCCAAATTTAAATGGAATGAAATCCCCAAACCAAATCAACATTCTGTCTGAATAAATTTGTTCAATTTATTTTTCTTTCCTGGTTTCGTTTATTTCCTGGATCTTAAGTGACCAAAACTGTTGTTTATCGCTGATTCACACGAACGATGGCTTCGTCAAAGTAAATAAATCATTGCTGATATCTCAATAACCGCAGCATGAATTTCAAGTGCTTCGAAATGAAGTGGGCAGTGTTGAGTGTGTATTGTTTGACCACTTCATGAATTGAGATTGCCGCACAAATTTTATTGGAATTTAAAGATTACTGAAAAATCGGATTAACGAGCTGAGCTATTAACTTAGAAAAGAGCAAAATGATATCTCATTTTTTTCTCGTTTTCCTCAACTGAAGTATTTTTTGTTTGTATGAATCTTCCGAGATTTTTTATTGTATTTTTTCTTGGCTATTTTCCTGTTTTAGATTCACCAATCTTGTTGAGTTTCCCACATTTCTATATGGGTGACCCAACTCTTCGTTTACAAGTCGAAGGTATGACACCACCAGAAAAGGAAAAGCATCAATTTTTCATCGATGTCCAACCGGTAAGTACATTTGATTACTCTTGTTTTGTACTTCATTGGGAGAGTACAAGCAGAGTTTTTAACTCAAAAAGAAAGAACTCAAAACATTCCATTTTTTTCTCTTCCTTTCTCTTCCATAGGAAATGGGTACATCGTTGCGCGCTCGGGCTCGTGTGCAAATCAATTTGGCCGTTAGTCAGGTGATTGACATTAAGCAAGTGGCCAATTTCCCGGATATCATCTTCCCAATATTGTGGTTTGAAGAAGGTATTGACGGTTTACCAGAGGAGATCACCAGTTTGATGCTTTTGGCCACCCAAGTGCCACCAAAGGCTCGTTCAACATTGATGTTGGTACTATTCATCGTTGGTGCGTTGTTATTGCTTATTGCCGTGACATGTTTGGTGCGACGATCACATCGACAGAGCACATTGCACTTGGCTTCAAATTATTTGGCCACATCGGCTGTTGATCAGGCGAAAAAGAAGGCGCAGAGCGAACACAAGAGATATTAGATAGAAGCTTTTTTTTCATTAGTAATTATTAGACACAAAGCTAGCAGAAAAACACATACACACACACAAATACACAAACGAACAAGCAATACAGACCAGATCAAACGGTTGTTGGGAATTGATATCATAATGGTAAATTTAGTTTCATTTGGTTTAAAGCAGCAGAGCTTCCATAACATATGCGCATAAAATGTGTAACGGTGAACGGTGTGTGTTAACATTCACGAAGATTTCAAACAAACAAGATGAAGTAGCGGATAAAAAAAAAAACAGATTAATAACGAAAGAACAAATCCGAAAATTCCGACTTCTGGCTGAACAATTTTTTTTTTTCGTCTCGAAATTGTCACGTTTTCATGTCGTTTTTTTTTTATTAAATCAATTAAGCAGAAAATCAAACAGGTAATAGAATCTGTCATGTAACTAGACAGTTATTGATGTGAGAGGGAAATAATGATATTATAATAGTGTGCGCACAAATTGCGTTCAATGATGTGAAAGAAACCGAAACAAAAAAAGATGGCAGCAAAATCTATTGTAAAACAACATATTTGGCACACCCTTTTTTCCGTTTTCAAAGTTGCTTTTCGCTTAAAAATTCTTTTCCCTCGTTGTTTTTAGTTTTCGTTTTTCCATATCGTTTCCGAACATTTCATTCGGCTCAACCATCTCGTTGTAAAATGTTCTCTTCGTTCGCATAATTTGTGTACTTTTGTTTTCTGTTCAATTTTTTTTTTTCGAGAATTAGCCGATATTTGAGTCATTTTTAGTGAAATAAAACGGTTCAGTTTTATTAAATATATTTTCTTCAATTTTAATTGCCCTTAAACAGCATGCTGTTCCCACGCGCGATTATTTCGGTTTTTTCCTATATTTTTTTTCACCTTCTTGACCAAATTATTCATTTTATTATTCACTGACACAATAATCGTAGACAATTTGCTTCAATCACCGAAAAGAACAAAAAAAAAAGCACCGAAGGGAACTCAAATGAAATGACACACACAATTTTTTACAATAATTTTGCTATGCTCCATTTTTTTCTTTTAAACTAGAAAATCGCCATATTATTGAGAGAAAAAAAAAAATGACGAACATTTATTTAGAAAAATTGTTGGAAAAAAAAATTAGCAAAAAAAAATTCGATTAAACGTTTGCATTCGAGATAAAATTCAAAACAATTAGTAATGATCCAATTTTTTTTTCGTTCATATCAATTCAAATCGAACAAATTTTATTGCAATATAATTTTGTCCAAATCAATTTGTCTTCCTGCAACAATTATTCCCTCGGGAATTTTAGATGTTTTCCGTCCAAGCAAAGTATTATGAAGAGGAAAATTTAACATTTTTTTTGTACACGCACAACGTAAACAATAAATTATACTCCAAACAAGAAAAAAAGAAAAGAAAATGAAATCGAACAAGACAAAAAAACAAATCATTTGTTAAACGCTCAATTTGCTGGATATGTGCCTTAAGGTTAATCTATAAGGGAATAGAAGAAAAAAAAACAAGACCATTGTTTATTTTTTTTCTGACACAGAAATTTTTGTTTGAAGAAAAAATTACAAAAACGAACAAATGTTGATACTTTCCGTTACGAAAGTGGCCGTTTTTCTTTTCGGCTCTTATTTCTGGGCGCGTTCCATTTATTTAATACTTTTCGTTGGTTGTTTTTTTTTTCATTCGCAAAATTTTCTTATCCGTAAACTGTAAGAGAAACAGTAGCGACAACAAGAACAACAAAATCTTTGCATAGAATTTAAAGTGTAATTATATCATAAAATTGACGGAGGAACGTAGAAAAAAAAATGCAACTTAATAAGTACTTAGTTTTTAAGGGTAAGCGAAAAAGCAAATAAAATAATTGTTTTCTTTTGTACATACAAAATACGTAGTAAAATTTAAAAACAAAAAAAAAACGACAAAAAAAATTACGATCTAATGCAGAACAGATGACTACAAAATACATAGAATGATATGGCATTGATTTTTCTTACAAAACACTGGACAGACATTTTTCTATAAATTACAAAATTCAAATCAATTTTTATTTTTCCATTCTGTGTTCACAACGAAAACCGATTTGTTTTTCTTCCGAAATTGATGAAGAATTTTCGTTGTGTACAGTTGGAAAATGCAAATGACCAATAATTTTTTTTTCTTCAGGAAATTACAAGAAAAAAAAGACAATATTTAGAACGTTTATTATATACATTTGAGAAGCGGAAATAAAGACATCAAGTAATTTATTAAAATAAAAACAAAAATTGTTCGACTTTTATTTTTGTTTTTTCAGCCATTGAAATAAATTTTCATAGTTATTTATTTAATTCGGTGATAGAATCTGCATAAATCTGTGCATGCAATGATTCTGTCACATGCTGCCATGGGGCCAATTATATTGTTCTTAAAACTATTGCAGTTTTTTTTTTAAATGCATGGCGTCCGCAAATGGAAACGCCTGAATGTAGGCAACCTTTAGTTTGATACACAAGCTCACTTCGGACAACAGACGTAAAATCCAATGACTAAAATATTGTAATTTTCATCGAATTCAAGACAAAGAGAAAATTTGGAATTTTCAACTTGCTTACTAGACATATAAGTGCAATGTGCAATGTACGCACATAGTGTTCATGTAAATTAATAAAGCAGCAAACAAACAATGATCACCTGATTCGACTGTTTGTTTATTTATTTCCGTCGTCGATCGGAGATCATTAGAGTGAAAAACGTTGATACAGTTTAGTTTATCGTTCAATGGGTTTGATTTATTTTTGTCATTGCTTTCGTCATAGTTGCCGCTCGCCTTCTTTTTTTTCTCCCCATATACATTTTGTTTTTGTTTTCATTATGTGCGGTGTATTTGATTTGAATGGGAAAATCGCTACTCAATCGTCAAACGGATCCACGAAAATAAACTGTGGAATTTTCAATTTGAGTTTTGATCATGACATTTGTGACTTAGAGCGAAAAATGTTCAAAATCATTAAAACAATACAAGTGATGGAAAATTTAGTGCAGTTTCATTGAAAATGAGTGCAACACATTCAAAGTGTACAAAGAGGTAATCGAAAGTGTGTTGACTTTGTGTGTTTTCAATCAAATATTTAAAATTGTTTGATCGAAAAAGAGAATTTGCGTCGAAGCATCAAAACAAATGAGAATAGAGTAACACATCTCCTCAGTCAAATAATGAATAAGATATAGAAAACGAACTTTGTATTATAAAATAAGAAGTGTGTATTTAGTTGGATACAACAGGCAATTTGAAAGTGAATATCTAATATGTTTAGATTGAAGGGAAATTCAAGTGAATTTAGATTCAACACGAAGATTATTCATAGAAAATTTCAAACAAAGAATTCCACATCACCAAAACACACGTAATTGTTCGAGTTTTCCGTGTTTTGTCTCAGATCTATTGAGTTTATTTGCTTAATTCATCCCAACAGTTGACTGAAGATTCTTACTACTAGATGTGACGGCCTGAGAAGAAGAACCTTTCCTACAAAACCTGTGCACAGAACACAAACACAGAAATTTTTTAGTCAAAAGGCGAACAGCAAATTTGCGAGCGCAAAAATCTAATATATTTACAGCGAGCGCAAAAGTATAACAAGCCTACTAGCATTCAAACTCTGTATAAGTAGGCCTGTTATGCTTTTGCGCTCGCTGTAAATATATTAGGTTTTTGCGCTCGCAAATTTGCTGTTCGCTTTTTGACTAAAAAATTTCTGTGTTTGTGTTCTGCGCACAGGTTTTGTAGGAAAGGTTTTTCTTCTCAGGCCGTCATGTGCAAATGATAAAACCCTGAATGATTTCATTCGCCGAATGATTCCATCGTTGGTATGTTCAGTATCCTTTTGGTCAGTGCACAATTTTCCCGATGTCAACATATCATAGCTGTTGCTAATGGAGCAGGTGGGGTATCACTCAAAAGTATATTCACGGAAAAAGTAATTACGTACTCTCCGAAAAATTAGTGAACCTTTTATTCCGATTCGGAACAATCCATCCGATTTATCATAATCACTATGTACTAGAAATGGGGATAAATCCATCCGAGTTCCGATAATACGGAACATTTGTTTCACTAATTTTTCTGAGAGTTGGTAATTGCTAGAAAAAAATTAGTAATTGTTGGTCAAAAATTACTTTTGCGACTACTTTTTTCGTGCAATCACAATATTTTCTTTGCAATTATTGCTAAATTTTACAATAAATCTGTTTTGAGTGGTTTGCCCCTTGTATTGTGAGTGGTGAGAATCAAATGGATCCGAGTCGGTAGCCTTGTCTTTTCAAATTCTGTAGAAGGAATGATTGTAAATTGCAGTCCATCAAAAGTTGTGATCACCACGGAAAATTCATCAATTTCAGTGGAATAAAATGAAAGAACAAGATTAAGATCGACCAAGGTCGATGTGATTGAACCCATCAATAGGCTATCGTGTCTAATTCGCAACTAAGCTCAATCATATGCACATTTCCATGCGAATATTTGCCACGAGCGCACAGTTTATTTTTCATTCAACGACCAAAATACGGAACATTGTCCGAAGATTAGAAAGTGTTTCGAACGTAGTTGAAGGCCTCTATCTATCATTCAGCTGATTATTCCGTGATTTTTTTATTTATTTGAATTTTGGCTGCATAGAGATATGATATTTTCGGCCGGCGATATCACATGTGCTGAATTGTAGCAGGCAGAGAATGGCAACACAAAGTGAAATGGTCACAACGGATAATAGCTCATTGAGTACCAACCGCACTTAATAAATGAATACCTGCGTTCAAGATATGCGAAACAAAATGAATAACCGTAGAATGATTAGCAGAGAGAAATGTGTGTAATCTAACTTACGCATTGGGTGTGTTTGTGCACGCACTTTGTCAAGAAATTGGACAATGTCAATAAAACATTTATCATCGTTTGTGTGTCGAGAGAGCAAGTAAAGATCAATCGTGTGAAAGAAGCAAAGATAAGAGAGAGAGAGAGAGAGAGAGAGAGAGAGAGAGAGAGAGAGAAAACCAACACGAAATAGCAAAACAACAACACGAGAAAGACATTTAAGGACGATGAAAATATTGTCAACATGATCGAGTATTTGGGCCATGTTTGTCTGTCGAGCACGTTGTGCGAATTGCGGTTTTTTTCTAATCCATTCATTTCAACTGATAAACGATAATAATAAAATTTTCGATTCTATACACACATGTTTTAGCGTGCGTATCGATACAGTCTGTCTTATTTGATTTGACTGATTTTGGCGTGCGCGCTTTCCGCATATTTTTTTCTCTCTCGGTCGCATTATCAGTCAATAGCGATTCGGGCAAAATTGTTGAACCCAAAGAGTTAGCACACGGCGCCGATGTGATTCACGCATGCATTTGTTAATATTTGGTTGGTCGAATGTTGTGTAGCCTAATCAGAAAGAAATGGTTGTTTTTTTTTCTTCTCTTTTTGCTTTGTAGCCTTTTGTATTGTCTATAACCGTGAGTGAATGTATGTCTGCGCTGTTTTCGCGGTTGCGCCTCTGCCTCTGTGTTTGTTTTTGCCCGTTTTCTTTTCATTTGCTTTTCTCTTCGGTTTTTTTTTCTTCTTCTTTTCAATGTATTTGGGAGAAAAAAAAAACACCAAACAAAATGCCTAATCAAAAACTGTAACTAGAATACAACGTGACCCTAGCATAACCTTCTTATGCCTTTGTACATTTTCTACAGCGTTTTTTTTTTCTTTCATTCTCCTCGTCGTTGTCGTTGACGCCTTTCATTCTTTTTATTGTTGTTGTCATTGTAAATTCAATTGAATTTCTTTGCCGAGGGAAAAATTTTAATTTTTAATTATTGCCGATTTCGAAAAGTTCACTATCATTTCAGTTTGAATCGTCGAGGTGGATTGAGTGGAGTCGTGTGTGATAAGTGGATCGCTTAAATTGTACACAGCACACAATCCCCTTTCTATGCTGGTGTAGATTCTATATTTACCCAGCTTTCGTGCCATTTTCCAAGTACATCGAGTGTTTTGTGGTGGTGAACATTTCCAAGAGTACCAAAAGTTTTCTTCTACCATTGTGTCACACATCATCCGTGTGTAATTTTTTGTGCGGCGGGATTTTATCAAGTGGACATATAGCTGTAATGATCTCTAACCATTAAATATCGACTGAAGTAAGTAATTTTCACGTTGATTTACGCAGTGTTCCAGCAAAATGTGTACTGAATGCAGAATGTCGTCATTTTTTTGTTGATTTTGCCAAATGGGATTAACATGGACATGAGGGGCTATTTATCGGGCTTTTCTTTCATTTTTTCGATCGCTATTCTAATTTCCAATTTGAACGAGCGAACTTTAGCAATTTGCATATTTTGTAAATGCGACCATTTATATAAATATATATATTTGAATGCGCTTCAAATTGACCGTGTGTATTTGTTTCGGAGCAGCGGTAACCTCTGCTACGAACTAAAAACACAAACACAAATGTTTTGGGGAGCAGTACGTGCGGCGGGTGAAGAAACTTTTAAATGAAAACGCTTTTTCGTTGCTTTTAAACAAAATATTCGCTTTTTTCGCATTGTCGTTTCACCATTTTTTTTTTTTGCTATCCTTTGTTGTTCTTTATTTTGTCAAATCTTACTCAATTAAATCAAAGCGCCAATAAAACAAAAAACCAGCCACACTGAATCGTATTTTTTCTCTTTCCCATTCTATAGATCGATTGGACGTGATTCTTAATCCATTCAATGCATTTGATTACTAATTATGGAATTGCACAGTATTATTCGACGTTTTGTTGATTTTGTGGTATTTTAAACAAAAAATCATTTGCATTTACTAACCGGGCCTCTCTATTTACTCTTTTAGTTCTTGTTTTGTTGTGCGTTTTTTTTTCTTCTTCTTCTGTTCGTTATGGAAGCACCGTTTTCATATTGAGATGAGAAGTTGCCAAATGCACACATGCAACGTAATAACATTCTGACTGAATGTGGGCTAGAAAAGGGGTACACAAGCGAGAGAAAAACAAAACAAACAGATTGAACACACTGATTGATGCACTTAAATTACGTGTCAATTTTATTACAAAAGACACGATAAGGCAGTGGTGTAATGGGTGTGTGTGTGGCTTAAACAGTTGAATAACTGCAGATTCATCAGTCGTGCGCGCAGTCAGGTTAAACCGCGGTTATCACAATCCAACTAACGTCAAAACGCAATGTTTACATGGAAAATTGTTGTGCCATCTGTTTCAAGACGACGAAAGAAAGGAACAACAAACATTGTGTGTATCAATTGAAAATCTAGAAATGCAAAAAAGCGAGCCTCGCATTTTTATTCATATTGAATGTGGCAACGAAATAAAAAGTGATCGATTTTTCTACTTCTATTTCTGTGAGCATCGTGAGCACAATCGCAACAAGCCATACGAATTCAGTTCATATTGCAATCCAAAGCACTTCATCGATAGTAGGAATATGAAGCTAAAAAAAAACACATTTCGTCGCTTTGTGTTTTAGCGTCAATTCACATCGCCAATCAGCGATCAGCTCTACATTGTTTCGCACCGATTTTCCATCATACGATTTTTTTTTTCAAAACCATCTCAATGTCAATGTTTACTACGCTTCTTGCTCATATATGTTGTATACAGACTAAATGCGGATTTGATAATGAATATTATGTAATAATTCATTATGACAAGTGTGAGCCGGTTTTTTTTATAGGGTAAGTGCGTATATTTCAATCAATACACGCACTCTTCGTACACTCGTCACTTTTGCCTCTCTTTTCCCATCATCGCCACTCTCACCATGCTTTGTGTGTGTGTATAAATGTATACAAAAATGCGCAGAAATTTCTAAAGCCATACTATGCGTATGCGATGTGTGTATAGATGTTTCAAATCAACATGCGCACACACGATGCCTTAATCAATCGCATGGCCACGATTATTACATTTCCTTTACCCGGTTCTAAATCATTGCGATGTGCGATTGATTGTATTGCTATTGGTGATTCGTTGCGGGCTGATTGTTTGGCATTCAATGTGATTTGGCAATGGGTGCTAGATTTTCCGTTCATCGCACAAAACTAATGCTCCAATTGATTATTTACTACGAGTTGTTTTTCATTCAACTGATCTACTGTTTCATACTCCACTGTGCCGTTTCTCTCCCTCGGTCCTTCGCTCCCTCGATCCCTCTTCTTCTCTATCGTCTGATAACGCATACACGATGAGTGCTTCATTTTTTTCCGATAGATTTTGTTTCTACATTTGTTTTTTTCCGTATTGGGATGAACGAGTCGAGAATATTTTTTTTGATTGCGATTGAGGATGATGAAGTAGTAGAAAGAAAGGGAAAGAAAAATTGTCAAGATTCGCGCTATCGCGCAAATAATAATGATTATTATTTAACCGTTCTCGGGGCAGCAGAATGAGCATGAGTTCACGAAACATTTGATGCAATGCATTTTCGACCGTGAACGTGAAAAGATCTCTTTCTGTGTCTCGAGTCTCACACCGTCCGGACATATTACAAGTATTTAAAGTGGATTGATTCAATTTTATTGCAGAAAGAAAAAAAAAGGAAAAAGAAAAATTGTGCCGTTTTTGACCAAATTTCTCGATTCAATAAAACACTACACACACACACATATATATATTTGGAACGAAGAATACAAATGAAAAATAAAATAAAATAAACCCCAAAAAATAATTTAATTTCGGACACAACAACCAATGATGATTGAAACCGGAATTTTATGGATCGTATTATTCATTGTTTGTGTGTTGTTCTTTTTACAGAGAGATTTATGCCGAAGATTTAAAACCAAGTTTACGGACGATATTAGCAGTGGCGAAGAATCATCCGTGCCAAGTGATACAAACGAAGTAGTAAAAAAAAATTCATCCATTTGGAACGCGTCAGCGAATAAAGCCGTAACAGTGGACGCCAACGACGAACAATTGTGCGAAGAAACGGTCTCAGTGCAAAAATCCGATTCGGACGAAGGTGACTTTGAAGTGATATCAAAGGAACAACTAAGCGACGATATGGCCGACACGCAAAACGGCATTGACAATGCCAACGATGGTGGCGAACGGCGATTCTCGATATCAGAAGAAGGCGAAGTCAACGATAAATTTCCACAACAAATGACCACCAAAAATCCAATGTGGAACATGATGGAATTGGGCGAAAAACGAAAACGTTTAAGGTAAGTGCAATTGATTTTAAAATTATTTTGGAGATTTTAAAATTCGGATGAAAGTTTAATTGTAAGAAAGGGCTAAGCAGCTACTAAAAGAAGGTTTAAAAATCATATTAAAATTTCTTCAAATTGAACGAAAAAAAAAACAGTTCACAAAAAGTCAATGAGTTAGTAGCTCAATGGAGACGGTCAGCAAATTTTAAATGGGTTCAATTTCTATTACATAAACTAACTCCATTTGATAACAGAAGTGCCCCTTCACTTGAATCAAAAGCTGACTACACACATACACACTCATGCGACAATACAACTTGAATGATCATTCGAAAGACCAGCGCCACTGAACGTCATTTGAAAGCGCATTTTATCACACATATACACACACACACACACACACAAACATACATAAACGCAACGGCGACGATGACGAAAATGGAAAAAAAAATAATATCATTTGTGGCTCTCATTTTGGCTTACACACAACTAAATTCACAGCTTACACACAACTAAATTCACCTGTGTGATTCGAATCACCTTTCATTTCTCGCTTCTTCGTAATTGCTCTACCATTGCTATACGATATTCTTGTGTAGTGATTTCGAATTGAAGTGAGTTTGTGTGTGACATTCACTCTCTGTTAGCCTGACTCACGAATTCTCTCACTCACTTGATATATATTTCTCTCTTTGTTGTATCTCACACTGTGCGGGGCTGTGAATGAATGCCGTGAATATTTACATGGCTACCTGATTTGCTGGTGATACACCACACTCCGAGTATCGTTAGCTGTGACAATCGGTTTTAGTAGTTATCGTGTATCCGTGCCGTTGTGACGTACACGTAAATTGTTTTTTTTTTCTTGGCATTCTCACATTGTTTTTCTGTTTCTGTTATTAAGCAAGAGAAAAAAAAACATTACAACCAAATTTTGAAGAAAAAAAAAACTTCATACATAATTCGAAGAAGAAGATGAAGAAAAAACAATTGAAAAAGAAAAATTAAATTATTCCCAAATTTTGTTATTCACAAACAGAAAAGTGTTGTTCTTTGTTGTTTTTCATCGTTCATTCCATTTATCGTGGATCGTGTTAAAATCTATCTTCCTAGTTTGAAATTGAGAAGAAAAACAAAATAATAACTGTGGCCCCGTAACATTAATTTGAGAAAGCAGTACCTTTGAATTGTGTCTGTCAAATAGAAAATTGTTTGTTTTCCATAGACGTTGATGTTTGCTAGTAATCAAATAACGCAAAACTCATAAACACGCTAGAATCGACGTGATCAACGAAACATGTACCAAAATGCCGTTTTCAGTTGTGAATCGAATCGAGGAAGAGAAAAAAAATACCGAATAATTTCTGGCCACAAGTGACGAAGCTATTTTCATTTATTTTTTTTTTTTGCATTTGCGTCGTAATAGTTGTCGAGGTTTCGTATGAGATTGAAAAAAGAAACAAAAACAAAATCGAAAGTGATCTTAACGTTGATGATTGTTAAAACAACAACAATAACAACGAAAAATACGATATAAACAAATCGATGCTGTGTGCAACGGTTGACGAAAAATTCGGCTGTCGACAGCATGGTTATTTAACCGTTTCCAAAAAGACACATACACATTAATGCCCTCTTAATGATGGGTTCGTTGTGACAATTTGTTTGGATGATTTTCAGTCGATGTTGCTTCAATGATCACTACCAACATCAAAAACTCCGTCCACCTCAGTCCATATTTGCAATCTTTATGAATTTTGTGTGCTGTTGGACTTGCACTGGCCGAAATTTAACCATATTACATAAATCCATTTTCATTGTTGCTGCTGGATTTTCGTCATTATGGGCAATGAGCCGCATATTGTATCGATCAATACCAACACATACCGTACAAACTTCAAACGACGTAGAAGAAGAAGAAGAAGAAAAGAAATACGTACATTCAAATTTGGCCGCAAATTTAAATGGAAATATGAAAATATTTCGCATATTTTTGTATGGCTACGTTTTTGTTCGTCTTCTTTTGCTTTTGTACAATTCAGTCGGTATATGTCGGTCATTTGTTTGCATTTTGCGGTGTTACCTTGATTTTGTTTGTTATTCCAACGAAACGCATACCGATCAACTTTCGATTGAATCAATGTAACGTCTCGGCTTCTTATTTCTTGTTTTTTTTGTGTGTCTGTCTGTTTGTCCAAACTAATTCGCATTGCCCGCATTGATAATTGAAGACTAATGTGCAAAATGCAAATAAAAACCACCATTTCATGTAAATAACCAGCTACCAATTTATCGTAAATATAAGCGACGCACTCAATTAGAAGCTTCTAATTGCAGTCGATGCGAAATTTCTAGACATACTGCCAATTATACAAAGCAACCTTTGTGCAATTAGGCCGAATTTGTTCCTTAATTACATATTTTCAACAACGAATCGTTGACAACTCTCATTAACAATGAAAAGTGAAAAATATTCGAAATTGTTGAGCATGTTGACAATATGCACTTGAAAAGCAAATGAAAGTTATTCAATTTCAACAATGCTCCACTAGAAATTCATTGCGAGTGATATCGGTCTGTCAACAACAGAGCTATATTGTCGCAATGTGTTTGTGCTGCTGCCGTTGTTGTTGTTGTCATTGTTCATTCTGATTGTGTTCGCACGATAAATGTTTGTTTGTTTCTTTGAAATGATTGAATCAAAGACAAAAAAAAAACCGGTTGAAATGTAGAGTCACGTTGTCATTGATAACTGATCGTTAAATCACCAGTGTCTTTCCCATTTCAACGCAACATGCGCAGAATACAGTATTCCCTACGACAACCACAACAACAGCAGCAGCATCAAAAACACAAAATACAACTTTTGTACGTTTATCTATCTCTTCAATGCCCATGAACAATGCCCATGGAGCATCTGTGGAAAATGGGCAATTTATTAAATTCTTCGTGTCATAGCCGAAAAAATGATCTAGCGCTTGAACAGCGTAATAGGTTTAGTTCTTCTCTCGGCCAGATGCCGTCAAAAGAGAGCAAGAGAGAGAGAGAGAGGGAGAAATGCCGGCATCACAAGTGAAATGTCAAATGGGCCAAATCTAAACATCGACTCTCAGCATTTCATTAAAAAATGACCAATGAATAAATCGTTTCTAACCGGATTTCCCGAAACCATTAGATGACAAATTCACACGTTTACTCCTTGCTTCGTAACAATTGAGTTCAATCACCAGATAATGAAATTCTATTCAACTAATTTCAAGCTACGTTCGATTCTTTTCTTTAAAATATTTTTCGTTTATCATTTCAATCGTAAATTAAACGCAATTTCAACAGAATTTCCTACAAATGAATCGTCTCTAATTGCTTGTGATTTTACAAGATGTTTGAAAATGTGAATATTATAAAAGCTGACATATGTACCATCATTTTTTATGAGTATTTATAAAATGAAATGGCATGTGCACCTAGTTAAATGCGATTGAATGTCAATGATTCAATTATTAGGAAGAGAAAGAGAAATGATTCATTTAAATGTTCAACGTGTATTTTCGGTTGGATTTGCGGCAAAAAAATTGTTCAATATTCGTTTGATGTGAGCCGAGCATGCTGCATAACGTGTATGATGATGATAACGTTACATTGTACGGTTCGAACGACCGAGTAGTGTAGCGGCAAAATGCATTTAAAACAACAACAAAAAACCAAAAACAATTAAGCGCATTGGAGCGAATGACCAATAGCCGCGAAAAAAAATTCACTCATCCGCGTGTATCTATCGCATATATACAAACGATACACACGCATACCCATACATACGCACACACAAGCATGCGCTGCCATTATATGTATATGCAAACGCGTCCACACACATAAACAAACACCAAGGCAAACGCACAGAAAGTCAGAGAGCGACAGCGAGTTGAAGAGAGCCAAGAGCGAACATACGAACGAACAAAGCGCGCGCGAGTAAAACTCAATAGAGAAAACACGGATGACAAGACATCGGCACCGTGTGCCGATTCGATACACAGAGCAAAGCTGTTGGATGCAGAGCGAGAGCCACGAGCAGAGAGAGAGAGAGAGAGAGAGAGAGAGAGAGAGCGTAAAACCGATGTGAAACACGACAGTTCTCTCTAACACAGTGTATGTGTTTAATTCGTAGTGTCGGTAGTAGGTTTTTGATTTTTTATCTTTTTCTATCCCATTCACACACACTTTCTGTCTCTCGTTCGCATTTTTCTTCAGTACGGTCTTCAATTTTTCCTTGTTGCTTTCATCATCCAGTATTTTAATGAATATAGTGAGTAAAGAACCACATGTGAACGATGACCGCACAACGTAATCAGACGATCCAACCGAGTGTTTTGCATTAATTGTGTGTGTGTTTATTAATCATAACGTTGAATTGGCTTCTTCTTTTTTGTGTTCAATTGAACGAAATAAATAAATAAAAATAAAACAAGTGCAGATTTTGGTCGAAATATTTTTTTGCTGTTCTGACATAGAGAAGAAGAAACATTTTCGTTATTATTTCGCGGTCCATTCCGATGACACCGACAAACCCATAGAGAGAAAAAAACGACGGAAAAAGAAGAAGAACAAGACAAAGTTAACCGATTTAGTTTTGACCCATTGAGAAGAGTAGTCGAGAAATTCGAACAACGTCATCGTTTACATTTTGGCGAAGTGAATTGCAAGTGTTTTCAACAGGAGACACTCACACACCGAGAAAAAGAAAGAGACAGAGACAGAGAGAGCGCACGACCTAGAGAGTGAAAAAGAAACAGAAACAAAGAAAATATTTCTCTTCAAAACGTAAATAAACACATCGAAACTTTTACAGATGATAATGACTTGAATGTAAATAATCAGGGAATCGATTGAAATAAAATCCCTCTCGGTGGAGAAAGCACGTATCGTAGATATTTTGGTTTTGTGCGCGTAAATGTGAGCGAAGAAAGGAGAGATAGAGATAGATAGTGGTAGAGAGAGAGAGAGAGAGAGAGAGGGAGAGAGAGATAGAGAGAGAAAGAGAATACAACAGAAAAATCAGGAGACAAAGAAAGGCAATTGTTTGTAATAATAATAATAAATTAAAAAAAAAAAACAGAAACCGAAAATAAAAGAAACTACCGCCAAAGGTAAAGCCAAAAAAAAACAGACGATCTGCAGACGACAGAGGCCCGAATTTAACCTAAAATTGGCGAGAAAGCCAACACCGCATAATAAAAATTGTTTTTGTGAAATTTTCGACATATTTTGATATTTATTCAATTCTTTTTTTTCTGTTCGTTGTTCGTCGGTCGCGGTTGTTTGTGGTTTTCTTTGCTCTTCTGCTCACCAATAATTTTTTTCTTCAACATTGCGGGTTGATCGAATAGCGCGGGTAGATGTGCTTGAAATTCGATTTGACGACTAAGAAGCAAGCGTGCCGTTTCATTGATGGATCACAAGTAAATCATTTCAGTCACTCTTCACCTTAAATTGTATATACATAATGAATAATAGCAGAAAAACGGTTTTCTTTTGTTGTTGTTCGTTTGCTCGTTTTGTAGAGATTGATGATGTTTTTTTTTTCTATTATAAATTGTGTGTCGCCGTTGTGTGTGGTTTGTGTTTGCGCTAGATTTCTATTTAAGCGAAAATTTGCAAGTTCACACAGTTTTACTATTTATTTTTGTTGCCTTCAACAGATTTGATATAGTTTTTTTATTCGTCATAATTAAATGCAATGAATACAGTGTGAGGGCGAGCGAGAGAGAGAGAGAGAGAGAGAGAAAGCGAGAAATAAAATTTGAGTTGAAATTTTGGTTGCATTGGTTATCGGATGTCCTTTGCTACAACAAAAAATTATTCAATGGAATTGTGTTCCAATCGGAAAATATCATGAATACCAGACAAGATCAAGTGAGAAAATGGTGAAAACAATAAAAGAAGAAAAGAATCAAAATCGAGACGCATGCATTTACGTGTGCTGTGAAATTCTTGTAGTTTCAATTCCATTGTTGTTCTTCGAACGACAACGATGACGACGATGAAAACGACAATGACGGTCTCGGAGGCAATGTGTTGTTTTCTTCTTTTTTTTCGTTTCGTGTCTGCTCATCCGTTGTTTGTCAACCGTTTTATTTGCCATCTCGTTGTTCGTTTCGATTAAATGTCAGTGAAATTAAAGCATTTATGCCGATATAATTGGAGTTTAATTCAACGAAATGCCATTGCAATTCGTTAAATTTGATTATAGGATAATCAATGCATAAATTGAACAAGTATGTACGAATGTCGATCGTTCGATTTGTTTGGGTTACACGAAAGATAGGCACACACATACGACACACGGTACACACAAAAAAAGTGGCCTGACTTCAGTCAAATGTGACGTTTCGCTGTCGTATCGGATATTGTGCTTGTGCGTCTGTGTCCGTGTCCGTGTCCGTATTCGTGTCTGTGTGCTGCCAGTTTGTGTATTGTAATGTGTTTGTATATGCGTGAATCAAAATTGAGTTGTACCAAGTGAATGAATGAATGAGTGAAACAGAGATGGCAAGAACGTAGACCGTAATAACACTCCTGTGTGCATACTGAGTGAAGAAATCATACGATATCGGTCGGTCGGTCGCTGCCGCTGTCATTGTCGTCGTTGTCGTCGACATCGCCGTCGCGTGTATCAATGTGCTTTATCCACATTGGATAACACCACCATATGACGTTTGTTCAACCGACCGACCATCATCATCATCATCATACGATATAACGTGCGGCATGGGTTGAGTTTACATTCATATACGATGATTCAAATGGTGCGTAATTGAAGCGCGATAAGGCTATAGCCAGCTCTTATTAAAATGGAAATTTTACTTGGTTCGTTTTTGTTTTTATCATTTTTTTTTCGAAAAGATTTCGATAACCTATTAAATCACATACCAGATATATCGACGGAATCGCACAAGTTATGCATATGTGATGTGTCAAGTCAGTTGTCACAATAGTTTTTCTGTTTTCGTTTTTTTTTCCTGTCAAAGGTGCCAAAACTGCATCAGACGGTTGCACTTTGCATTTTTTAATCAAAACAATTCGATTCCGATTTTTCTCTCATTATATTTAAGAAGGAAATGAAATTGGCCGCATAAAAATGTGTAACATTTTCGATTACACATGTAATAAAGACTAGTATGTCGAAATTTTATCAAAAGTAAGATAAAAATAAAATGACTTGATAAACATGTCTTTTCATCAATACACAATACAAAACACGAAAAACAAAAACGAGCAGAGTTATCATACGCAATGCTAAAGCAATTATGGATCCAGCAAATGCATGCATATATATGTATATATATATGCGTTTCCTCATCATTAGTCTAATCATCAAAATTTACACTGATTACAGCAAAATTGTGATATTAAATATGGCAGCCACAGCTTGAGCTTGAATAACCCAACCACAATGACAAAACAAATAAACGAAAAGAGCAAGCAAGCAAAAATATGAATTGAATAATGGATTAAATATTCCAAGCAAGAGTTGGATCATGTTCATTCTGTGTCTTGCACATGTATCAAATAGTCATTGAAATTTCCTCCACTCAATTGGCACTCTCTGCTGTGACCGCGTGCAGCTGACGCAAATTTTTCACCAAGTGGAAAACCATATCAAGCCACAGATCACAAGAAAAAATAAATTACACATCAAAACGTAAGCAATAACATACATAACATATTTTCAATAGATGATTCAAACTGATGAAAAAATCCCCAATCACACACACACACACGCGCGCGCAACACAGTCACATCCATTTTCCCAATTTTGAATACAAGCAACGAAATGTATAAAATTTAAATGGTGTTGTAATTGCAATTAAAAATAAAAGTGAATGGATCAGCAAATGTCGACGATGACGATAACGATGGTCATCAAGTTTTTCGTGTTGTACATTTTAAGCAAATTTTCACTTCGAACTACAGCAACAACAGCAAAAATTCAGAAAGAAAAAAACTGTTCAAACGTGATTGATTTCAAGGTGATATTTCGCTAATGGATCGTTTTATTAACTATTATTTGTTTTTTTTTTCTCTGTTGGCTTGAAAAATTGTGTGCGTACAATTTTCCGCAATTTTCATTTCATTACCGTTGATGGTCGTCATCGCCGCCGTCGTGCTAAATTAGTTGGTGTTGCATATTTTTGTTTCGTTTTTATGTCGATTTTTCTTCTATTTTTATTATGCTTCATTATGATTTATTTTATTTAATTTTTTTCGCATATATTTACAGTCCATTCAGAACAATACCGAACGAAACGATTTCATGGCAAAATTGAATTCCATATGAAAATTTTATTTGGCGATCAAAATTTCATGGCAAACTTAACACACACACACACACACACACACAAAAACCATTTTTTCTTTGTTTTCAATTCGAAATTAAAATTCACTCGAACCGTTTCAATTAATATTTTACATTAACAAAAAGTAACGCCAATACACACGCAATAAAGTTTGTTTTTGTTATGCTTATAAAATGCAATGCAGCAATATGAGGTGAGATTTTGTTTTTCTGTGTCATTTGCATGGATTGCTTGAATATTGTTTCGTTATTGTCATCCATTTTTTTAATTGACTCATAATTAAAATGTTTAGTATTTGTTCTGTTCTTTTTCGTGTCTGTACTTAGAATTTTATTTTAATTTTTAACGATATTTTAATGCATGCTGTGTGAGCGCGCGTGTGTTTTTCCTCAAATTATTGTAAAACTCTCAGGGGCGGGGGAAATGAATTAAAATCGATTGTTATGCGATCGTACACTTCATCCACACCGTTTCGGTGATTGCATATAAATTCAAAGTAAACAAATTTCTGGTTTACGGCCGACTTTAGACTTTCAAACCGGTTCGATAATAAAATATAAAAATATTATGCATAATTGTAAAAAATCAAGTAATGTTCAATGGAATTTGAATGACGAAAAGATTTGCGGTTTTTTTTTGTTTACATTTGTATCGTCATTAAAAGAGAAGAACACATTTTTGGTCCGTGATACATGTATATGTGTATGTTATGCACGTGTACGTCAGGGGGAAAATTGATCAAAAGTACTTTTCCATTCAATTTTTTTCCTTCTTCGGTGGTTGTGGCGATCGGAACGGCCCGAGCTCAGGGCCAAACAGAAACGAATTCGAATGTATATCCAGCGAGTTTTTAGCGTATTGTGTTGATTGTGTGTCATTGAAATTGTTATCTTGCGCAGGCCGATGGCCCCCCTTGTGATATGTGTGTATCTTACATCATCTACAACTTGTTGAAATCACACATAGAATGAAAGAGAGAGAGAGAGAGAAATAAAAAGCTAACCATATCCAAAATCCGTATCGAAATTAATACGAAAAACTGGAATCACATTTTTTCGGCATGAAATATTTGTGTACTGCGCATATTTGTTTATGCGATCAGGTCGACTAACGTGTTTATGAGTTACCACTGTTGACGTCGTTCTCCATTGAACTCTCCATGAAAATGTTGTATTTCTATTCATCAGCATCAAAACGTTGGTATTTCCCGTGTTATATCAATTCCAAATCGTTGTCATAGCATCGACACATATTTTAGTCTCTGCGATCATCATCCGATTCTAGCAAGCGAAGAATTTCTGGGAGAGAAAGAGAAAAAGATCAAGAAAAAAAGAAATATCACTATTTTCAAAATTGAAAGTAGCAAAGGCGCGCGCGCGTGCGTTTTTTGTTAAAAAAAAATTTAATGTTGTTGTTGTTCGTACAATTGCGATTTTGAATATGTGTTAAACAAAAGGGTACCAATTTTAAAACCAGACGGGAGCAGCTTATTTGATATATCTCCATAAAAAAAAGCGAATGGATTTGTGTGTCATTGAAACGAAAAAAAGATCAAACGAAAACGCAGAGCTTAACTTAAAATCGAGAACACAACTATTCTTAGGAGTATATGGTTCTAGGTTGTATAGTAACGTTCGCAATTGATATGCTTAAACGTCGCGCTAGCAAACGTTTCGTATTGGCTGAAAGTGGCCAAGATGGCCACTGGGATTCCAGTGTTGATAATAGTCCTAGTATTACCGTAGAAAGAAATGCCAACAGTACCGACGAAATGAGCACACAAAGTGTATCGCCATCGTCGTCATCGTCAGAAATGGCGCCAACCACAACGACAACAATAACAACAACAACAACAACAACATCCGACACTAATCATTTAACCGTGCCAAAGACAACGACGGTTGAATTGAATCAAGGGTTGAAGTAAATATTCGATTTTCTTTTTCTACACACACATACACACACAAACATATATATTTTTTAGCAACTTTTTTTTTTATTTTCATACACATTTTTTGGGATTCCGGTTTGTGAATAGTGCATTTGTGCTTTTCATTCTTTGTTTCTGTTTTAGCAAAATGTTTGTTTGAATTCGATCAGAGTAGTAAGTGAAAAGGATTTGCAAAGCAAATAAAGTCACCTTTCAATCTATGAAATCACTATCATCATTTATAACAGATTGACACATCGTTTTATTTTGCAAATCATTTCACTTTGTTGATATTGATTGTTCAGTGTATTTTTTTTTTGCTTTTGCTAGCTTAGATTTTCCGTTTCGAATAAACCAAAAATAGTATACTATTAAGTGTGACTAATTCCGAATTTTTAAATCCGAGTAATCATTGTCCATAAGTTTTATTCTTAAATTTGTTTTTTCAAGTCATTCAATTTATGTGATAATGATGCATTGATTTTTTTCTCCCTCCATTTCAATATGATCAGACCTAGTATGTCCAGAGGTGCTGGGCTTGGACTCGATCGTAATCATGAGCGTGACTTTGTACTTTCATCAATTGAAGAGTTTGTCAAGAGATTCGACGGTATTCGACCAATAAACAAGGTACTCATCGAAACAATGCGCCGATTATGGTCAATTGTTCGTTTTTGTTTGCATTTTGCCATCAATCCAATTGACTTGCAAGAGAAAAACAAAACTTATTTTTTCTGACCAATTTTCGAATAGGTCTTGATCGCCAACAATGGAATTGCTGCCGTTAAGTGTATGCGTTCGATACGCCGCTGGTCATATGAAATGTTCCAGAATGAGCGTGCAGTGCGTTTTGTGGTTATGGTTACACCCGAAGATCTGAAAGCAAATGCCGAATATATCAAAATGGCTGATCACTATGTGCCTGTGCCCGGCGGATCAAACAATAACAATTACGCCAATGTGGAATTGATTGTGGATATTGCTGTGCGAACGCAAGTGCAAGCTGTATGGGCCGGATGGGGTCATGCATCGGAAAATCCAAAGTTACCAGAATTGCTGCGCAAAGAATCGATTGTGTTCTTGGGACCGCCAGAGCGTGCGATGTGGGCTCTTGGTGACAAAGTGGCATCATCAATTGTTGCACAAACCGCTGATATTCCAACACTGGCCTGGTCTGGATCCGAACTGAAGGCACAATACAGTGGTAAAAAAATCAAAATCTCATCGGAACTGTTCAATCGTGGTTGTGTATCGACAGCTGAACAGGGTTTGGCGGCATCGACCAAAATCGGATTCCCCGTTATGATCAAAGCATCCGAAGGTGGCGGTGGCAAAGGTATTCGACGTGTCGATAAAGCCGAAGATTTCACTTCACTTTTCCGTCAAGTACAAGCTGAAATTCCCGGTTCACCCATTTTCGTAATGAAATTGGCAAGCGGCGCACGCCATTTAGAAGTGCAATTATTGGCCGATCAATACGGTAATGCGATCAGTTTGTTCGGCCGTGATTGTTCGATTCAACGTCGTCATCAGAAGATTATTGAAGAAGCGCCAGCCATCATTGCGCATCCGGAGGTGTTTGAAGAAATGGAAAAGGCTGCCGTTCGTTTGGCCAAAATGGTTGGCTATGTGAGTGCCGGTACAGTTGAATATTTGTATGCCAACGATGGTAACTACTATTTCTTGGAATTGAATCCACGGTTGCAAGTAGAGCATCCGTGTACGGAAATGGTGGCCGATGTCAATTTGCCCGCTTGTCAACTGCAAATCGGAATGGGCGTTCAATTGTATCGGTTGAAAGACATTCGTTTGCTATATGGTGAATCACCATGGGATTCAACCATCATCGATTTTGACACGCCAAAATCAAAACCAAGACCATGGGGCCATGTCATCGCTGCACGTATCACATCCGAAAATCCAGATGAAGGTTTCAAACCAAGCTCAGGTAAACACACACACACATTTTCCCCTAAAATCAAAAGGCAAATGCAAAACCCTAACGCCATTTGTTGAGTTTTGTAGAAATCATTAAGATACTAACCAACTTGGTTCAATATGAGTGGTAATTCTACTTAACAGTAGACTTGACGTGAAGCTCAGTACTTAAACTAACTCAATAGCAAAACGTCAAACCAAATGGTAGTTGTGCTCGCTGTTGACGGCTGTTGTATTTGCCTTTTGCTCTAAAATATGCAACAACATTTTTAACTTATCGACAAATTCCATTTTCATTCGTTCAGGTACTGTCCAAGAATTGAACTTCCGTTCAAGCAAAGATGTGTGGGGTTACTTCAGTGTTGCCGCATCGGGTGGTTTGCACGAATTTGCCGATTCACAGTTTGGTCATTGTTTCTCCTGGGGTGAAACACGTCATCAGGCCCGTGAAAATTTGGTCATCGCACTGAAAGAGCTTTCGATTCGTGGTGATTTCCGTACAACGGTCGAGTATTTGATTACATTGCTCGAAACAAACAGTTTCTTGGAGAATACAATCGACACTGCCTGGTTGGATGCCTTAATTGCACAACGTGTTCAAGCCGATAAGCCTAATATTCTTCTCGGCGTTATCTGTGGTGCTCTGCACATTGCCGATCGTCAAATTAGCGAATCGTTTACACACTTCCAAGTTTCATTGGAAAAGGGACAAATTCAAGCGGCTAACACATTGACAAATGTCGTGGATGTTGAGCTTATTTCCAATAGCGTTAAATATAAAGTTCAAGTTGCCAAAAGTGGAGCAAACACCTATTTCCTCGTCATGAATGGCTCATTCAAGGAGGTTGAAGTCCATCGCTTGTCCGATGGATGTATGCTATTGTCGTTAGAAGGTGCTAGTCACACAACTTATATGAAAGAGGAAGTCGATCGTTATCGTATTGTGATTGGTAATCAAACCGTTGTATTCGACAAGGAAAACGATCCATCGTTGTTGAGAAGTCCATCGGCTGGTAAATTGATTAATTTAATCATCGAAGATGGTGCCCATGTGAACAAAGGTCAAGCATACGCTGAAATTGAAGTCATGAAAATGGTCATGACATTAACGGCCCAAGAATCCGGTACCGTATCGTTTGTAAGACGTTCGGGTGCTGTTTTAGATGCTGGCAGTTTGATCGGTCACATCGAATTGGACGATCCATCATTGGTCACAAAAGCTCAACTATACAAAAACCCATTCCCACCATCCGAACACAATTTGGTTCCGGAGAAATTGAATAAAATTCACAATAGGTACGTTGAACCGGCAAAATTTCTACAATTTCTTTCAATTTCGCAAACAATTTGTATCATTTCTTTCATTAATTGCTGCTAAATTTTCGCATTTTGTTTCGATTTTCAGCTACAAAGCCGCTTTGGAGAATAGATTGGCCGGTTTCTGTCTTCCGGATCCATACAATACGCCACGTTTGCGCGAAATTATCGAGAAATTCATGCAAAGTTTGCGTGATCGTTCGTTGCCATTGCTCGAATTGCAAGAGGTTATTGCATCGATATCCGGCCGTATCCCAATGTCGGTGGAAAAGAAAATCCGTAAGCTGATGACTTTATACGAGCGCAACATCACCAGTGTGTTGGTGCAATTCCCATCGCAACAAATAGCCAGCGTTATCGATAGCCATGCAGCAACGCTACAAAAGCGGTCAGAGCGTGATGTGTTCTTTATGACCACCCAAGGAATCGTGCAATTGGTTCAACGTTATCGCAACGGTATTCGTGGCCGAATGAAGGCTGCCGTGCATGAACTGTTGCGCCAATACTATGCCGTTGAAAGTCAATTCCAATACGGACACTACGACAAGTGTGTGGCTGCACTTCGTGAAAAGCATAAGGACGATATGGCTGCTGTGGTTAGCACCATTTTCTCACACAGCCAGGTGAGCAAAAAGAATTTATTGGTCACCCTGTTGATCGATCACCTGTGGGACAACGAGCCTGGTTTGACCGATGAACTGGCCGCCACTTTGAGTGAATTGACATCATTGAATCGTGCCGAACACTCACGTGTTGCATTGCGTGCTCGTCAAGTGCTGATCGCCGCCCATCAACCCGCTTATGAATTGCGTCACAATCAAATGGAGTCGATCTTCTTGTCAGCCGTTGACATGTATGGACATGATTTTCATCCGGAGAATTTGCAGCGCCTAATCTTGTCGGAAACATCAATCTTCGACATTTTACACGATTTCTTCTATCACAGTAATCGTGCCGTTTGCAATGCCGCTCTTGAAGTTTACATTCGCCGTTCGTACATTTCGTATGAATTGACATGTTTGCAACACCACAAGCTATCCGGTGAATTGCCATTGGTGTATTTCCAATTCTTGTTGCCAATGGCACATCCGCATCGTTGCTTCATGAAATTCTCGCCCGAAAAGAGTGAAACCGAAACCATTTTCACCGGATCGTTTATGCGCACCGGTTGCATGGCCGCATTCAATTCATTCGAACACTTCCAAGAATATTCGGATGAAATTTTGGATTTGCTTGAAGATTCCGTATCGCCAATCCTAATTAACAGCAAAGTTTTGGATGCTGTCGAAGCAGCTGATTCTCAATCGGAAGGTGGACGCATGAGCACATCGATCAATGTATCACTTTCGGACCCAATTTCGCGGCCAGCCAACGAACAAGAGCCCACATCAACCGAACCAATTCACATTTTGAGTGTGGCCATTCGCGAAACCGGTGACATGGACGATGCTCAAATGGCATCACAATTCCAAGTGTATTGCTCGCAACACCGCGAGGAATTGTTCAATCGTCGTGTGCGCCGTATTACATTTGCCGCATTGAAAAAGCGCCAATTCCCCAAATTCTTTACATTCCGTGCTCGTAATAACTACGAAGAAGATCGCATTTATCGTCATTTAGAACCAGCATGCGCCTTCCAATTGGAATTGAACCGTATGCGCACATACGACTTGGAAGCGTTGCCCACATCCAATCAGAAAATGCATTTGTATTTGGGCAAAGCCAAAGTGGCCAAAGGACAAGAAGTTACCGATTTCCGCTTTTTCATTCGTTCAATTATTCGGCATCAAGATTTGATCACCAAGGAAGCTTCATTTGAATACTTGCAAAACGAAGGTGAACGTGTTTTACTCGAAGCCATGGACGAGTTGGAGGTGGCATTTTCACATTCACAATCAAAACGCACCGATTGCAACCATATCTTCTTGAACTTTGTGCCAACGGTCATCATGGATCCAGCCAAAATTGAGGAATCAGTCACAAAAATGGTCATGCGCTATGGACCACGTTTATGGAAATTGCGCGTTCTTCAAGCCGAATTGAAAATGGTGATTCGTCAATCACCACAAGCGTCAACGCAAACCATTCGACTTTGCATCTCAAACGATTCCGGCTACTTCTTAGACATTGCCATGTACACCGAAGTTACCGACAAAGAAAGCGGAGAAGTAAGTTCAACGAACATTTTGTACACTTTCATTTGGATTATTTTTTTCGTTGCTTCGTTTGACAATGGATTTTATACTTATGAAAACTTTTCCATGATTTACAGATAAAATTCATGGCATACGGTACAAAACAAGGGCCATTGCATAATTTGCCAATTTCAACTCCATACTTAACCAAAGATTTCTTGCAACAAAAACGCTTCCAAGCTCAATCAAATGGAACGACATACGTGTACGATATGCCAGACATGTTCCGTCAAATGACCGAACGTTTGTGGAAAGAATTTGCAAAAGCTCGTCCAACGATCGATATTCGAATGCCCGAAAAAGTGCTCATCGATTGCAAAGAACTCGTTCTGATCGGTGATAAACTCGAGGAAATTCCACGTTTGCCAGGAGAAAATGATGTAAGTTTTGGCAGAAAAAAAAACCGTTTTCTTCTTATTATTTTCGAGAGAATAACCAAAATGTTTATGATTACCATTTTGATATACTTCAGTGTGGAATGGTGGCTTGGCGTCTAGTCTTGTCAACGCCAGAATATCCAGATGGTCGTGAAATGATTTTGATTGCAAACGATCTAACTTATCTGATCGGTTCGTTTGGTCCAAAGGAAGATCTGCTTTTCAACAAAGCATCGATATTAGCCAGAGAACTTAGAGTGCCAAGAGTAAGAAACATTTGAATTCCGGGCATTTCCATTCGTTCGAATATTTAACTGTGGTCTTTTTTCTGTTGTTAGATTTACATTTCGTGCAACAGTGGTGCACGTATCGGTTTGGCTGAAGAAGTAAAATCATTGTTTAAAGTCGCTTGGGAAGATCCAGAAGAACCAGACAAGGGCTTCAAATACCTGTACTTGACTACCGAAGATTATCACAAGATTTCCAATTTGAACTCAGTTCATGCCATTTTGATCGAAGACGAAGGTGAACAAAGGTATTTAAACTGGAAATTGAACGGTTTCTTACGAGTTTTATGAACATCACAAACTTGAAATCTAATTTTTGTATACAAATACGCCTGTAGGTACAAAATTACTGATATCATTGGTAAACAAGACGGTATTGGTGTGGAAAATTTGAGTTATGCTGGTATGATTGCGGGTGAAACATCTCAAGCTTACAATGAAATTGTTACCATTTCAATGGTAACGTGCCGTGCTATTGGTATTGGTTCATATCTGTTGCGTTTGGGCCAACGTGTGATCCAAATTGATAATTCTCACATTATTTTAACGGGATATGCAGCTTTAAATAAGGTAAAAACGAAAATTCCATAGAATTTTTCTCTGATTTTCAATGATGGCCGGAACTTGTTTACTCAACATTTTACAATTACAGTTATTGGGACGAAAAGTTTACGCTTCGAATAATCAACTTGGTGGTATTCAAATTATGTACCAAAATGGTGTAACGCATAAAACAGAAGGTGAGTCTAATCAAAACAAGTATATAAATAAAAGGATTTTCTATGACCTTAAGGCATACAGAAAAATGCGAATCATTTTCGAATAATTAGAAGAAAAAAAGTCAACGTCGAAACTGGTTTTATAATAATCAATCAAAAATGAAATTGTTTGAAATGTGAATTGATTGTTCTGTTGAATGAATTGCAGCAATTGATTTGGACGGTATATACACAATCCTTTCATGGTTATCATACATTCCGGCAAAGACTGGCAGTGGTTTGCCAATCGTTATTCCAAATGATCCAATCGAGCGGCCAGTTGGTTTTGTGCCGACAAAAGCACCATACGATCCACGTTGGATGCTTGCTGGCAGACCAAATCCAACAAATCCAGGCGAATGGGAATCCGGTTTATTCGATCGGAATTCATGGTCTGAAATTATGGAACCGTAAGTTGAATTGCATTTTTAAAGAAAAAAAAAACGACAATTTACTCCTCTTTCATTCAATAATAATAAATAAATGGTTTATTCAACCGCAATTTCAGATGGGCCCAAACGGTTGTAACAGGTCGTGCACGTCTCGGTGGTATTCCAGTTGGTGTGATTGCGGTGGAAACGCGCAGCGTTGAACTGACAATGCCAGCTGATCCGGCTAATCTTGATTCCGAAGCGAAAACATTCCAACAAGCCGGTCAAGTTTGGTATCCAGATTCATCGTACAAAACGGCACAAGCAATCAAAGATTTCAGTCACGAAGAGTTGCCGCTCATCATTTTGGCCAATTGGCGTGGTTTCTCCGGCGGTATGAAGGATATGTACGAGCAAATTGTTAAATTTGGCGCTTACATTGTCGACGGTTTGCGTGAGTACAAACAACCAGTGTTGGTTTACTTGCCACCAAATTCGGAATTGCGTGGCGGTGCATGGGCTGTGCTTGACTCACAAATCAATCCAACATACATGGAAATGTACTCCGATCCCGAATCACGTGGTGGTGTCCTCGAACCAGAAGGTATCGTTGAAGTTAAATACAAAGACAAGGATTTGGTCAAAACTATCAATCGATTGGATCATGTTGTGGTTGATGTAAGTTATTGATTCGTTTTCTGTTAAAATTTGCGTATTTTTTTAAATGAATTTAAATTTATTGAAAGAAAAACATCAATCAATCCTTATTCTACAGTTGCAAAATCAAATCGAACAAAACTCGGGCAACAAAGAGTTGGTGGGCCAACTTGAGCAAAAAATCAAAGAACGTACTCAATCGCTGTTGCATGTTTATCACACCGTTGCTGTGCACTTTGCTGATTTGCATGACACACCTGAACGTATGTTGGAGAAGGGTTGCATCAATGAAATTGTACCATGGCGTACATCGCGTGAATGGTTACACTGGCGTTTGAATCGTTTGTTGCTCCAACATCAAATGGTGAAAAAAATCATTGCCGCTCACGATGATCGCAACATTGAACAGGCCAAGGAAACGCTATGCAGATGGTTTGTTGAAGACAAGGGCACAACCGAAGCTCATCTCTGGGACAATAACAAAGAGGTCGTCAACTGGTTGCTCCATCAAACCGATTCCCATTCGGTCGTCGAATCCAATATCAATGCAATCAAACGTGACGCAATCATTTCACAAATTCGTAAATCGCTTGAAGAACGTCCAGACGTTGCACTCGACGCAGTTATCGGACTCTGTCAAACATTGTCATCAACGCAACGTTGCGAAGTTGTTCGCACACTCGCACAACTAGATCTATCAAGCAACTCAGAACAAGTATGACCAAGAAAATTAGACGTTTAGATTTTTTGCACAATAACAATTAAAACAGAAAGCGAAATAAAAAAAATTAGTATATTTAATTTTCAAGGGAAGAAAATATATTTAACAAAAAAAAAATGAACCATTCACGCAAACAATTGATCGACATCAAGACAAAAGAAAACCATTTAACGAACAAAAAACAATTAAAATTTATATATTTAGAAAGCGAAAAAAAAAAATCAGAAGAGAACTATTCATATTTATGAACGAATTTTTTTTTTCACAGCATCAAGATTTCAATGGGAATTTAGCTTTTGATGAAAAAAAAACGAAAATGTGCAAAAGAAATGGAAACAACAACAAGAAGAAGAAAAAAAAAATTCGTTGATCGCCGTAGAAAATAAATAAATAAATACGTTAGATGTATATTCAAAACATTCAATTGAACAACAAATGATATTGGTAACAAAGTTATTAGATGAAAGGAAATAAAACAAAACGATAATAAAAATAAAACAAATGCGAAATCAGACATTTTGCAGAAAATATATTTTGTACATATATCATTATGCTATAAACGTTTATTATATTTTTGTTGGAAAGAGTTATTAAAACTATTTAATTAAAAAAAAAAAACTAAATTTTGTTTGATGGGTATTACTTATACAATAATTTTTCGTTTCATTCCGCTTCTTGTCCATTTTTGCGGTTAAATCGTTCTGATGGTGCTTGTTGTTGATTGATTCAGTCAATATGATCGAAGAAAGTCAAATGGGGTCGATCCATTGGCAAATCACATATCGGACAGATAAGCGATTCGTCCGCATTTAGAGAAGGTAAGATTTGTTTTAGTTTTGTGATATCGTCGAGTGCAAAACTCTGGCAATGGATACATTGTAGCTGATTCATCATCGGTATTTGAGTCATTGATATGCAACATCTTGGTAGGTCATGTTCTTGTTCACAAATTCCTCTGATGCAATCGATTGGTCCATCGCAATATACGCATTTTTCCACGCCACGTTTATCGAGACCAGCGCTGGCCGTCAATAGCGCTTCAATCAGTGGATGAAATTGCACTTTGATCGCTTCATACTCGTCGAATATGCTCAAATTGATGAAATCCCGCAGTGATGTGCGATGGCATTGTGCCGAAATTATTTGGAATTGTGTCAATTTGTTGGTGTTTTTATTGAGACGCAACAGTATCGAGTAGGATTGAATGGCCAATATGAACTTTTTCAAAATGTTGTATTCGCCAAGAAAATTGCCCGATTCAATCATTCGATTCTTTTGTCTCAAGTAGGTACTTCGAGCACTTGTCACGATCAAGCGTACTTTTAGCGAATAAACGTATTCGGCGGTGCAAGTCATTTCGGTGGGATAGATGTCAAGGTAGTCTTTAAATACTCTGTCATTTCGTAGTTGCGTATTTCGAATTGCTTCCGCCAAATCCTGCGCACCGGACAAACTGTGTGTCGGATTATTTAGCAGTACTTCCAACGATTTAAAGCCACCGAGTTGATGGCAAACACTCACATGACCCGGTTCGCGCAACGCCAAGTGATCATATGGCTGAAAGAAGAAGAGAGAATAATAATTAAAAAGTAAATTTGATGAAATATACATTTTTCTTTGATTTAATGCTTTTAATTTTATTATTCATAGCCAATGAATTATGCGCTGTTTTCGAACATTTATTTAAGTTTCATTCATAGGTTCCAATGTTTGAATGGTTTTTTTTTTAATTCGTTCAATTAAATAATTAGAACACTGAAAAAATCTGTAATCAGACGGCCAAATGAATAAATTGAATTAAATTTATGCTTTTTTTTTTACAACTTTTATCGGAAATTTTGCTTGAACACCCTCAAAAATTTCATTTATTTTAGAATTATATACGAAACTCCTTGATTTTTTCCGAGAATTGTCAGAAACATTCGTCTCAAATATAATTTCCTGTTCTGAAAAACATCATTTAAACTAACTCACCTTCCCGGCAAAGTATGCCACTAGAAGGAATGCATTATTTCCTGAAGAAGTCAATCCATAGAGTGCATATTTCGAATGTCCGTTCGGTGGTTTCAGTTCGTCCGATGTGATTGAAATGGTGTTTGTCTTAATATTCAATTGTAAACACTCCAAATGACCATTCAATGTGCCCACAATATATTCCAATGGATTTCGTTTTGTGATACCTATCCATGTAGCGCAATTAAGAAATGATTTGAAATTTAGAAGAATAGAAAAAAAAAAACATGTGCGTTACTTGGTACGAACTAGAGTTGTTTCAAGAGTTGCTGTAAAAATCTATATGTAATTGTATTTAATCATCACGTGTTCAAAGTGCATAATTAAAAATCAAAATTAAAAGAACGGGTTTCAATCAAACATATTAAACCGTCATAGTGCAATTATGATGCGAGGGAAAAAACGAAACACGAAACGAAAAAACAAACCACAACAACAGCAATAACAAGTCAATGGTGACTTTAATTCCGTTTCTGTTTGGAGTGCATGTCATGGACGCAAATTACGCAAAAAAAAGAACCACTAAATACAGTAATGTCACGAGAGGGAGAAAAAAATGCAGCAAATTAAATTCATATGAACCGTAAGGTTAGTTCGTATATATGAACCGTTAAGTGCATCTCAATGAAGCAGCGGACTTGTCGGCACACTCGTGGATTTAGCATTTCACTTGCTTTGGCGATTCGTGAGTTGCCGAAGCATCATATATGCAGTGCACTCGATATTTAACGTGAAAATCTATATTCGGTACATCGAAGTTGGCCGAGGTATGATTTCGTTTGGGCGTCGCGTAAGCAATTCACTTGCGATATA